ACAATTATTGTTATATCGGAGTCGGTGTCGGCCGAGGAAGACTTCACTAATCTAACTCGGCAGATACCATTTTATATCTGACACGTTAAACTTAAACCAAGTTACGTTTAAGTCCTACCTATCTAACCACCGAATTGATTTTTTATTTAGCAGAATTTTGTGTTTACCTATAATTGAAATATGTTTTAGCTCATCAATTAACATTAATCCTATATTATATATGTGCTATGTACATTGTATGTAACATATTTTGTTGGCAATCCTAAATAAACAAATAATCGGCTTTGTCATCATTACGTCACTCCATTGAATTGTGAATTTTGTTAAATATTTACATTAATAATGTGATGGCGTGTGTGATGTCATCTCCGGGCTCATCTCGGCTCCTCTGAGCATCTCCGGAGGGCCGGAGGCAGCACCGCGGCGGAGACAATTAATTTGTTCGTTTCGTTGACGCGCTTTTCGTATTAATGGAATTAGTCGTATTTATATTATGACGTAGTTCTGTAAAGGAGCGGAGAAGCGTGTCATTATGACGTTAAAGAAACACAATTACTCATCAAAAGCTGAGGAGGTTCGAGGAGTTTTGGTTGCTGCTGTGTGTGTTGTATGTTACATATTATATGTGCGTGTTTGTGTGGATGTGGGTTTATAAAATAATCTTTAAAATAGTTGAACTTATATGTGCAGGCTAATAAACAGTGGCAAACTTATTAAGCTGTTAAAAGAATAGAATAGTGTAGTAAAGTTTTTAGCAACCTTAGTGGTGGCACGTCGGTAGCCGAGCGCGTCATATTAAATACATTGTTTCATAATTTTTTTTTATATAATTGAACAAGAAAAAACGGACATAAAATTCTATAATAAATTTGAATAAGTAAGCCAACAATAATGTTGTTCGCATTGTGATCGTCTCCGGCGCGGCGAGGCAGGCGCTGCCCTGCCATCCCGCGGGCGCCCCCAGTCCCCACGCCTCGGCGTCTGCCAAATGGAATCCAATAAGTGGATTGATTTTAAATCACGTCTTTCAGTCACCATTTAACTTCGCACGATCACAGACATGACAAAGAGGGATTGCTTGTATTGATAACATTACTGGATGAACTTGAATATTTCTCTTACTAATTTGATGTCACACC